AATCGAGTGATATATCCTATCATAAATTCATTTCATTTCATTTTGTTTTATTTTATTTTATTTTATTTTATTTTATTTTTTCATTTCTTTTTTCTTTTTTTCCTTTCTTTTTCTTTCATTCTGTCGCGTTACAGTTCATATAGAGATCGCTAGGATATATTTTTGATGTACATAAGTAGGTCATCAATTTATGTATCATGGATAGAGTATCGTATCGATAAAGATACAGTATTTTTTTTTTTTTTTTTTTTTTTTTTTATGTTGAAGAAGATCTTTTGATGTCTCTTGTTAGTGTAGAGGAAACGTAAAGGATCGGACTAACGTTCGTATTTTTTTTTTTAACTTGAATGCTCTTTTGAGAAATCGAACCTAACACGATACGTATTTTTCTTTTTCTTTTCTCTCTCTCTCTCTCTCTCTCTCTCTCTCTCTCTCTCTCCTATCGAAGTACGATATATTGATAATGTATATATTTATATGTATCTTTTATCAATCACATTTTTTGTTCGGATATTATAATATTATTATAAAAGTTGATAAATCTCGAAATTGACCTACTTATATATTTCCTGATTCTACATACATATATATATATATATATATATATATATATATATATATTAAATATTTTTTCTTTTTTTAAGGTACCCTCGCGACAGATTGCGTGTAATCTTTTTATCGTATCGCGATCGAACATTCAACGACCATTTGCGAGGATCAATTTGAGAGAGTATCAGGACCATTAGCCGTGCTTTACGCGTACGACGATTTAATATAGTCTCTTTATTCTCTCGTACGATCGATAAGGTTATAGTCATTGAAAAAAAATTTTTTTTTGTGACTCTCTTTTCTTCTCTTTTAATATACTCTAGATTTTTTTCTTGGAACAATGAAATAAGAGAGAAATTATATTATTGAAGAAGAATTGAGAAATAAGAATAATAATGGCATATACAATCTATGTATATTTTTTGTGTCTATATCTGTGTGTTTGTTTGTGTGTGTGTGTCTGTCCGTGTTTTTTCAAGAGACACTAAAAGAAAATATATTTCATTGTATAAATTATAATTATATTTTTCATTAGACATGTATTTGTCAATCAGATTTATTTTTTGAAATAGATTTTTTTTTTTTTTTTTTTTTTTTTTTTTTCAAAAGAATAAAAGGTTGTCGAAGTATAAAAAGACAAAAAAAAAAAGAAAAAGAAAAAAGGCACAAAAGAAATACAAAAATTGACACGGTGCGTATGTTTTAGATTAAAAAAGATTAAGTTTAGATTAGAAAAAGATTAAGTTAGATTTAGAAAAAGATTAAGTTTAATTAATTTTAGATTAAGAAAGATTAAAAAAGAATTAAATATTTTTATAAAAATATATTTAATCGAAATTAATTTTTTTAGGGACAAGAGAAACGTTTTCTCAAGACAAGAAAAAAAATATTTGAACGTTATTATATATTTAATATACGTAATAACAGACTTGGATTTGTTTTAATAGAATCATTATCATTTTGTTTGTTAATATTTTAGATATAAAATTTCAAGGACGAATAGAGAGATTAAGTCTCTTTGATCGTAACTTTGAAAAATTCGTTTAAAATTATTCTTTCGCCCAATGAAAATGGATTATCAGAATTCAATATCGTTTTGGTATCATAATCGTTCTGACGATTTGAGAGAATACATTTGCATTTTCCGTTCTTCAAAGGGAATGCTAGGGGAGGTTGCTTTGAAAAACAGAACGTTGAGTGCGAGCTTTAAGAATAAGAATAAGAATAAGAAAAAAAAAAAAGAAATAGAAGTGGAAGAAGAAGAAGAAGAAGAAGAAGAAGAAGAAGAAGAAGAAGAAGAAGAGTAGAGCAGAGCAAATTAAATCAGCTTTGAGAAAATCTAAAGAAGATTTCAACTAGATAGAGTTTCTCATTAAAAATCAAAATTAAACATCTATTATTTATGTCAGTCTGAATACTACAATTATAGTACTGATTTTATAATTTATTTATGTCGATCTGAATGTAATACTATAATTATGGTAGAGAGTGGAGGAAAGGGGGACGGGAGCCAAAGGATCTTATATGATTTTAGAAATGAATTATTCTTTTTTTTTATTCTTTTTTCTTTTTTTTTTTTTTTGATACTTCGTAGGATCATTTTTTTTAATTATTATATACCACAATTTTAGGAACTTTCAATCTATAATTATAATGTATAATTATAATATACGTAAATTTATGATTGCAATCAATAACACTAAATGTGTGTTTTCGATAAGTTCGCAGAAAAAAAATCATTGAAAATGGATTTTTTTTTTTTTCTTTTTTTTTTACATCGTCAGATTATCGCGACGCTTTATCGATTTCGTTAAAAGTCATTTTACGAATATATGTGTTGGTCTTATAAAGAGTGTATTTAAATTGTTGTTATAAAAAAAAAAAAAAAAAAAAGGAAGAAAGAAGGCCCTTTAAATTTTTTAAATAATATTTCTTCTAAGAACGTGCCTATTTTATCGGGAACATTATTATTACATAGTATAGTAATATTATTGTTGCATTAGTGATGTTAAATAATTCGATGTAAAAAATGTAAAGAAGTTGCGTTAAAGTAAAAGTTTTGTAATTAATGCAATTAGAACAGTTTCAATAGTTTCTATTGAATACGTATAAGTAGTTTCTAAAAGGAATGCACTATTTATATGTACACACACACAAAAGATACACATATATATATATATATATATATTACTAATACTACTGCTATTGTTACTATTATTGCTATATGTTAATCGGCTCTAGTATATAGGAATTAATCGCATTTACTTCTAGATATAACAACAAATGCTTTAATGTACTTTCTAATAATTATTCACGCGAGTATTTTGATTGGATTTGCCAAAAGACGATTTTTATTATAATTAATATACATATATATATATTTTTTTTTGTTTATTTATTTAATATAATAGATACATTCAACGAACATTATTTTCCAATTGTAATTAAGACGGATAAAAGTTATCTCATTTATAAATTGTTTTTAATTTGAATACTTTTATTAAAATGAAATGTTTCTTCTTGTTTTTTTTTTTTTTTTTTTTTTCTTCTTCTTAAGAAAATATTCTCTAAAATACATTTGTTAATGTAAATGGATTAAAAAGTCGCCGTCGTGATAAATGTAAGTAGTTGTTGAAAACATTTCATTCATTAAATAGAGTATACGAACCCACGTAGAATTGTTTTGACGGTTCAAAGTTAAAAAGAGAAAATACTTGGTCGGTTCTCTTTGGTTTGGAAAATAAAGGAACAAATACAAAAGTTGGTAGGAAGAGGAAAGAGTAAAGAAACTGTGATCCTACGGTTTACGGGAATGAGGAAAGGAAGAATTTAAAATAGGGGAAACTATTTATAAACATCGCACACAAAAATATAATATGACGAAATAATTAAAAATGTGGAAACAATTTTTGCGTAGGATCAGTCAAAAATTTTTAAAAGAGAGATAATTTAGAAAAATCAATTACAATTTTTTCACATCTTCTTTGTTTTTTATTTTCTACCTGTGATATTATAAGTCGCTCAAAAATGTGTAATTTTACAATTAGGTAAGAAAAAAAAAAAAATAAAAAGGAAAAAAAAAGAAAAAAGGATAAACATATTAGTCTGAAACATTTCGAACAAAGAGCAAACAATTTTTAAGAATCACACTTAGGAACCTTTTGGAATAATTTTCTCTGTATTAATGGTTTCTCTTAGACAGAGAAAGCATTCTCAAGAACAATCAAGTTCATTCTCTCTTTACGTTTAAAACGTCTTACGACGAATATTCAACGGGTAAACTATGCGCAAAATTTAGATTGGACTAGAAGAAGAAATAATAGTAATAGTGTTTATTCGTTGCAAAAGGATTTTTAAATTCTTTGGATTAGGCTAAATCGATTAAGCTAAAACTATCGTTTAAACTAGAAAATTGTATTCTTTCTCTCTCTCCCTCTCTTACCCCCCTTTCTTTCGCGTTATACTACTTAAGGTACACAAATTTTATTAGAAATAATAACAATAACAATAAAAATAACTAATTAAAAACAAAAAAGAAGTAAACATTATATAAATAAAACATATGAAGACAAGGAAAAGAATATTGATAATCTTTTAAAAATATTCATTAAAAAAAGCAAAAAAAAAAAAAAAAAGAAAAAAGAAAAAGAAGAAAGTCGAATAAAAAAAATTTCAAAAACAAAACGATCATAAAATACAAAATTGTAATAACCTTTTTCCTTATATCTAAAATAGATTGTCATTTTTACGTAATCTTTTTTTTTTTCTTCTTACCTTATTATTATCATCGACAGCGATGTGCGAAAATTCATTCGGAGATCTCGAAATAAAATGGGAACTCGGGATTGTTAAATATGTAAATATATATGTATATATGCATATATGTATGTGCATTCTCACGAGTAGAGACGTACGAAAGCAGCATCTCATCTGGTTGCTGCTGATGCTGCTGTTGCTGTTGTTGCTACTACTGCTGCTGTTGGATGATGATAGTAGTTGTTGTGGTGATAGTGATGGTGGTGGTGTTGGTAGTGGTGGTGGTGGTAACAATAGTAGTGGTGTTTGTGGATACGAATGAAGAGGAAGCACATCGATCCCAAAGAACGAAATGTTAGAACGGACCTTCCATACTGTCTGCTGCTAGTAATAGACGATGCGGAAGCGGTTGGAAATTGAATAGTATGTTCCTATTTCGTGAATAGTTGCGAAACCATTCTGCATAAAGTATCATCATCCTCATATATATATATATATTTTTTATGACAAATGAAATAGACCAATGACGTCCTAACGATTATTCCATTATTATAAATAGTAATTTTATTGAATGAGAATATGTTCGAACGATTTGACGATACAAATGATTTAAAGATGTTCTATTAGTTAATACTTATCTTGTTTATATTCATTAAAGAATATTAATAGATATAAATTTGATCGGTATGTTACAGCACACAACAATCATGTCGATGACGAACACTCATGGCGACGAATTGAGTCCAACTCGACAGCCGAGGTATGTATTAATAAATAAATCAAATGATTAATGTTAATTTATTTCTACGAATAGAAATCAGAAATGTATTAATAAGAAATATTAAGTGTGTTTGTTTTAACTTAAGTTTAAAAAGAATATGATAATATAAATGTATACGTGATAATACGAGATCTTTTTTTTTCTTTCTATTTTTTTTTGTCTTTTTAATGATCGTATTTACGATGGTTCCTTTTGTAAAATCTTTTTTTTTTGTGCTTCTTATCGCTTTTCTTCTTTTTTTTTTTTTTTTTTTTTTTTGTTAATCATCGATAAGAAATTTCGTTAATGATGTTTTATAGTTAGGACGTTAAGTTATTAAATGGAACAAGGCTTAAAATTAACTATCGAGCTCGTTTTGAGGAATGATTAACAAATAGACGGATTATATTAACTTGAGATTTAATTTTCGAAATGAGAATTTGTTTTTATTTCTTTCGAGAATTTGTTTTTAAAGTTTAAGCAAGCATAAAGATTCAATCTAGTTCGTTATAATGTACTACAAAGTAGAACATTTCATTTCGTCGAAATAATCTCATCTCTCTTTTCTAAGGAAAAAATATTATCTCTCAAAGTTTTATATCGATATAAGGATCATTATTCTCTTAATGAATTGTTTTCTTTATTACGAGCAGTAAAAAAAATTTTTTTTTATTACATTTCTTATGATCATCGTTATTATAGCAAATGTTACGACGATAAAAATCGAATTTACGAATTTACTTTGTCCAGCGGCATCTGTTTCTTTTGTCAATGATGTACCCTGGAATCACCCGTTATATCATCGTTCTTTTAATCGTTTTAAATTTGAGAGATTTCTAAGAGGTGTTTTAGGATCTTTCTTTTTTTTTTTTCTTTTTTCGTTTCAAAGCCAAGCAAGTGAGAAACATATTTTTATGAAAAAATTAAAAAAAAACCTCTTTTAATATTTCTTTTGTTACGATTTTATGCTGGATAAAGTGTTAGAATATTTTTCGTTTAATTCGTTATTATTCAACACGTATATATGATATATTTGTATCGTAGATAATTTGACGTTCTCATAGTAATACTCTTGTTGATTAATGAAGGAAGATGAGCAATTTAGAACAATAGAACAGTTTTGTTTCTATTAACTCTATAGCTAACGATTTATACCATAGATTAAATTCAATGATTTATCAACAATGTATTAAATTTCTTTGAAATAACAAACGAAAATTGAATAATCTTTTATTGAAATTATATTTGTTAAAATATAGAAATTAAATTTTTATATACATGTTAGATATTAGAGAAAAATTTTATTATTTAATTTATAATTAGATAATTTTTTGGGTATACATAAATTCTTTTATATAAAATTTATAATAGTTTACTTATCAAATCGATTCTATCTCAGTCATGGAATAGAATAATAAATGAATTTCGATTACTTTGCGAAGCATCCATGGGCTTCCAAGAGTTAAACTTTGCCAGTTGAGTAAACAATCTTTGAATTAAGATGCAACGAACAGTAAGGCGAGTAAGAAGGAGAGACTATGCTGATGCATATGAAATAGATATTCAGAATATGTAAAATCTATTCACATGAATTTACGCATCGTTTTAGGTTCACTTGTGTCTTCTCCGTAATCTAAGCTTATTCATCCATCAGAATGTGCAAATATTTGCTAATTTTTATTATTATTTTTTTTTTCTTTTTTGTTTCCTCGTTAAAATACAATAAACATTATCGTACATTTTATTGGACATTTTATTGGACATTACGATTTTTGTTTTATCACGCTAGACGCTTGATAAAGTGAATTAAATTTGGACCTTTTTAATCTCATGGAAATATCATACTAATTGTAAATAATTATTCTATCGATAATTTATCAAATTATTTGAAAATTTCAATTACATTTTAATTGGATTTCATTTTATATACAACTTGCGTGTGTTCACTTTAATCTAAACTCATTCAATCATTGAAATGTGCTTTTTGGTAATTTTGCTTCTTATTACTTTTTCTTTCTTCTTTTTTTTTTTTCGTTTAATTATTTTCTTTTTTTTTTTTTTTTTTTTTTTTTTTTTTATTGTTTCATTGAGATATATAAAAAATGAGCGTACATTTTATTGAACATAATTTTTAATTAATTCTAGTCACGTACATAGATATTATATTAAACCATCGTCGTGTTCAATAATTTGTGTCAATTACAAAGATTTCAATTATATTCATTGGACTTTGTCTACTTCTTCTTTTTCAATCAATTTCAACTTTTTCCGATTCTTAATGTCGATATCAGGCAGTTCTTGAAACTTTGCTCTGTTTCTAACACTTTTGCTGAATCTTGAACAAATCCGACGTTAATACGAAATCTTTAGCTTTAACAGATCCTACAGGAGCATTACGTTATATAAGCCTTGAGATAAGGAAAATAAGTAAAATTAGCAAGAGGCTTGTTAAGAAGCTTAAGGTTACAACTGTGAGAAGAAAAAAAAAAAAAAAAAAGAAAAAAAGAGGGCAGGGTCAAATCGATGATAAAAGTAAAGAAAAAATAAAGAAAGAAAGAAAGAAAGAAAGAAAAAAAACTTCTTGCACTTGTTTGCGAAAAAGAATTCATTTGTAAACGTGTATTTAATTTTCTGTTATGTTAGAAATTATAATTATTATAATAATTAATATATGTTAGAAATTTGACGGCATCATTTTCAGACAATCGAATCATCGTGATAGAAATCTAAAAAAGATGAGAAAGATAAAAGTTCGTTCAGGTTAATCTTTGTTTTTCTTTTTTTTTTTGTGGCTACATTGTAAAACTTAGCTTGTTAACAAATAACAATATAACAAATCTTAACAATAACAAATCTTAGCTTAAGTTATATAATGTAAAGCCTTAATATAACTTGTAAAGTATCTCGAATAAGAATAAGAATAATTGATTTTTAAAAATCGTTTAGAAACTTTTGGCCCATTCTGTATAAAAAAAAAATTTTAATATAAATATAACTAATATTTAATAATTATATGCCGCTAAATTATAATTATATTCTTTCATTCGTATAATTGATTTATTTATGTAATAGCATACTAATGGAATCGAAAGGATGGACCATTTGTAAAGAGGAGAGATCCTTTCTTCTGTTGCAGACAGAGTAGAATTCATAGCGTCGGATTACCAACACGAGCATCTCTACTTCCGGAGCCACCACCCAACGAAAATAATGTGCCACCACCTATTCCACGTCGCCATTCAGCCACACCAACGGTAAATATATTTCTTTGACGGATATCGTAAAAGGGATGGATATTTTTTTTAAATTTCGATTGAAAATAAGTCACATGCGAAATGGAATTATTATATAATATTTTTTTTCTTTTCATTTTTTCCACAAAAATGATCTTTACACGAACAAATATCTACGTGTCTATATACATAAAAATATCGGCATATCCGATAATTACAAACATTACACATTTTTATATTCTTCAATGTATAACAAGTATTGAACTATCATTTATTTTAAAATCAATCTTTTTTTTTTGTTTACTCTTTCCAATTTTTTTTTTTTTTTTTTTTAATATTAATAAAATATGTGTATTATTTAATGTATAGGTAGCACCACCACCAATACCATTACGTCCACCGGCAATACCAAAAAGATCCAAAAACGAGAAACCAATTCCAATTAAAAAGATTAATGGTAACAGGCAACAAGATGATTCATCAACGAATCAACGAATTAATAATGATCCAACGTCGTCATCATCTTTGTCATCGTCACCGACAACGGCTTGTCATCTTGGCACTCCTACTTGGAATCAGACGGTAACGATCGATGAGAAATTGATAGACCTTGGACCATTTAGAACGCATACTCAACCGTCCACCGAGGATTTCTCTTTGGCTTTTGAATCGAAGGACGTGGTCAGCACCAATGAGAACGGTTTCATTGCTAACTTCAGCAAAGTCAATTTCCCGGATGAGGAAAAGCTTGAGAATCGAAAATCTAGCCTCGATGAGCTTCGAAAGGCTTCGCGAGATCTTGAGAAGAACCTTCACGAAAGGACTCTCAAGAACAACGAAACTAAGTTCGATGATATATTAGGTGGTAGAGAAGAGAATAGACAACGACAAAATATCCCTTCTCAAAATGACAGGTAAATACGTGCTAGTATTATTATAATGTATTTCAATATTTTTTTTTATTAATTAAATTTTATATCTACGATATATACATATGTATATATATTTTGACTTGAAGAATTAAATTCTTTTTTTAAACGTAATTCGTTCTTTTTTTTTTTAAAGAAATTAAATAAATAATTAATCCTTTAAACGAGATCTGAAAGTTGTTATACGATATTAACACGATAAAATGAATATTGTTCGCGTCGAGTTATGATAAAAGATCGCAAGGCTTGAAGAATTCTTTTTTTTAAATAGAACTAATCTCTTTAGCTAGCTAGCTAAATTTTCCAAATGCACAAAAGCGATGATTTATCCCAACAATGTCAAGTCCACTCGGTTCAACATTAAACACGCTTTACATGGTAGATACTACGTTCGAATTTGACCTAAATGATTCAGACGTTTGCACTTAGAAGTGGTTCGTCAAACCAAGCGTAAATTCGAAGCTTAATCTTGGTAAAGTATTCGATTATATTGCCGTACAAGTGGAACTTAACGTTAACAGTTTTAATCATCAATTAGCGTGTTTATACGACTTATCTCGTTTCAGCTTGACCAGCTATATTTATTTAATGATAGTAAATTATTTTGTAATCTTTTAATTAGTTATCATTATGATGGCTTTTTTCTGTGCGTCCTTTTTTTCTTTCTTTTTTTTTTTTTCTTTTATTAACATAAACCTATGTTAATTTATATTAATGCACAGATCGCGTTAAATACATTATATTTTGAAAGCGACGTAACGCATTTATTATATGCATGCATTTCAAGACAGAATAATTTGTACATGCGATACACCTAAACGATCAATTTTATATTATAGCTAAATGATGAAAATATATCATGAGAATCTCTTATATTAAATATATATATATATATATATATATATATATATATATATATATAAATTCTTTTATATCAGTTTAAAACCATTGAACATTTTTCACTCAGACAAGAACACCCAGGAGGAAAGTTCAGGAAAGAAGAGAAAAGCATTGAGGATAGCATAGAGGAGGAAGTATTGGAGGGAATATCCGAAGAAGAAATGTCTGAGTCTCCTTCTAGAGACACTTTTCAGGAGGAACGAAAGTTCGTAGGACTGGTTAGATCGTATAGAGAAGAAGAGAAAAGATCTAAGTTTGAGGAACTTCAAGCAGCCTCGAAGAATCTCGAACGACGTCTTCAGAGTAAAAACGAGGAGGATGATCAACGTCGTTATAGGGACATGGAGAGACGTTTGAACAAAGATAGGTCAATATCTAGGTAAAAATTTTTTTTATTATAATTTTTCTTTTTTTTTTTTTTTTTTTTTTTTTTAATAAACAAATACGTGAGTTTTTGCAATATCGAAATGAAATCGTCCTATAGATACGAAGATCTTTCAAGGGTACCACAAGAATTAGAAAGACGAATATTGTCCGATCAAAGATCTATCGTCGATCAATCGACGCGTGGAAAATATGAGACCGATATGGAAAGGGCCAGGAACATGTTACAACATAATTCGAGAAAGGAAAGATCTGGTATCGAGAAATTAGAAAAATTACCTAAGGCAACGCAAACGAATCTACCTCCGCCGCTTAGTAGTACGATTTGTCAAAATTATGTGCCAAAACCAATCAGTGTCAGACAGGATAGCAACGTTTCATCCGATAGTTTTAGTCAAACCAGTTCACCAAGTTACACAAACAAAACTATGGAAGCACCCTTGCTTCCACATAAATATGGAAAAGTGCCAGGTAATATATCTAATATATATATATATATATACATATTTGTTTTTATAGTTAATGATATAATTAGAACTATTTTATAGATAGAGCTTTGGTTCATGAACCTGAAAATTCATCGGGTAGGCCAATAACAAAATCTACAAGCACACCGGCTAGTCTACAAACGATCGTTAGAACTCATGGTAGCAACAGTACATCTTTGCATCATAAGGTGAGTTAGAAAAAAAAAAAAAAAAGAAAAAAAAATCCTAACTGAAAGGTTATCATGAGAAGGAAAGAAGATAAGGATCCTACGTTTTAGCGTAGGAAGAAAATTCCTTTATGAAGAAATAATCTTTTTTCTTTTTTTTTTCCTTTTTTTTTTGAGAGAGAAAGAAAATAAATTAATGTGTTTAGAAAAGTTACAAATTAATTATTATTAGATACAATCGTTCAATTATATTTTCTCGTGAAAACAAAAGAAACATTCGTGGCATTTAATACGCATCTCTCTTTCTATCTCTCCCTCATTGTATTTAGAATTTTGTATAGAAGTTTGGTATTGTAATTTGCGTGGACATTTACGTGGCTTAGTTTAATGCTCATCGTTAAATACTCGACACTATTGTGAGCCATTCAACATATTATCGCGAGCAGAAATATTTGAACGTAGCGCTGTGAATCGTTGATGTTACAACGATGCCCGTATCATTAACGTAACCACAATCATTGTTAACGTTGCTTAAACTGTTTGAATTATTTATTGTCGAGTATCATGCCTGATTTGTATTATATTAATGCCAAAGAAATTTATCACTTTTCTTTTTTCCTTTTTTTTTTTTTTCTTTTCTTTTCTTTTCGTTTCTTTTTTCTTGTTACAGATAATCAAGGATATGGCTAATCGTCATTACGTAACAAGAGGAAGATTCAAATACGTGCAATTATTGGCCAATATTGTTGCCCTTTTAGCTATTGTTGCTGGATTGAATGCATATTATAAAAGTAAGCTTAAATAATTTTAAACATTAAGACAAAGGTAGATATCATATAAATTTTGATTTTTATTTTATAATATTTAATACTTCGTTCACATAAAATTGTTATATATATATATATATATATTTATTTATTTATTTATAAAATATAAACAAAGAAATGGTTGACGATATATCAAGAATTTCTTTTTCTCCTATACGATCGTATAAAAGAAATTTTTTGTATTAGTACAATCGATCGAGCAATGTCAATGTAGGACGTATGATTTGCTTTGTGGTACTAAAAGATCAATAATACTCTCTCTCTCTCTCTCTCTCTCTCTCCCTCTCTCTCTCTTTCTCTCTCACTCTCATTCACTTTCTTCCTCCCCCTTCCTCTCTCTTCCTGTTCGTTTCTCTCCTATCTATCACATGCCTATTTCAAATACGAATATCAAGTTTACAGCAAACACAGGATTGTACACAATTGTGTGTGTGTGTGTGTGTATGTGTGTGTGTGTGCATAATAAAATAAACAATTCTATTATGTCACGATTCAAATTAGTTATTACAGTAATAATAATTCAATCGTATAATTAAAAAGAATAATATTTTTATATGTCGATTGGCCAATTTTTGGGATTATCACGAAAAAAAAAAAAAATATTAATTTTACGCTTTATCACATCGCAATATCTTTTTCATATTGTATAATTGCAATATTATCCACCTTAGGAACTTTATCGTCCGATCATCGTATAATCAATGCAATTGATTTTGATTTAGTCATTTCATTGAACACAGCGTATCCTGAAACTGCCATAAGATTCGAGAATAGAACGGAATATACGAGAGCCATTACGGTGACCGAACCAACGCGTTCGATAATACAGGAAGAAGAAGAAGAGAAAAATCCTGCACCGGGTGTCTGTTTACCGGTGATAGTCAACTTTTGTCAATATCACAAGGTAATTAAAAATCCCCATTGTTTTACAGGATGAAATCGGTTAAATGACAATCGCCTTGACTATCTGCCTCGCCATTTATTTGCTTTATTTGTTTTACTTTTTCTCGTTTTTTTTTTCTGTTTCTATTTTTCTTTCTTTCTTTTTTTTTTTTTCGAACTGGAATCTCTTGATCTTCATCTTGATCCTAAAATTTCCTAATAAATGACGATGAGAGAGAAAAAAAAAGAACGAAATTTTTTGCACGTTTTTACACGTTGCTCTCTCGAAATAATTCAATTATGTTTCCACAAAGTTCTTTTCTTTTATTTTATTTTATTTTTTTTTTTTTTTTTTCTTTTCGTTCATATATAACCAACTATGAAATAAAATAGATATTCTGAATGATCATTGTTATATTTAGTTGATGTCATCCCCCGTTATAAGAAGAAATTTGTATTTCGTTCTATTATGGTACGACGTGCATTCGCATAATCAAGGACAACGTGGAAGAGTAAGAGAGAAAGAGAGAGAGAGAGAGAGAGAGAGAGGGAGAAAGAGAGAGACGTATAAGAACTTTCAACAAATAATTCCTCGGATTATCTCGGTACCGTGAAAGGAAATTAATTGACGTTGGGCTAAACGAAAAGGGAAAAACGAGTCACGTGACGGCGCCCGTTTTTTTCACCTTTCCTCTCTCCTCTTTTTCTTCTTCTTCTTCTTTTTTCTTTTTTTTTTTTCATTTTCTCCTTTCGTTTCCTCCATTCTTCTTCACTTCGAAATAAAATTGTCTTAATTAAGAGAGAAAATGCGAATGCAAATAAGAAAAGGAACTAATAATCCTGTGGTTTATATTAAACGTAAATTGAAAATAATCTTTTATCGAACGTATAATTTAAAGTGGCCCCATGTGTCGCGAGAGCTCTAAAACGTAACCAGTTGTAGCCATCTCCTCTTTAATCGATCGCAAGCAACGTCTTCCGACGGAATTCATTCGCGAGATTCCGGGGTTTCACGCGACGTGGCGACGATATTATTACACACCGAATTAAATACGCCTCGAGAGAGTAATATATTTCAGAATATTTGAAGTTCGGTTATGTAATGTAGATTAATTATAGTAGTACGCATTATGGCAACTGAATTATTTTCACAACTTTTTTTTTTTCTTCGTTTATAACATTCGAATCTTCTCTCTCTCTCTCTCTCCCTCTTTTTATTTAAAAGAAAAATTTTTTTTTTAAATCGTTTCCAGAATATAGATGTGCGTGTGTGCGCGCGCGCGTGACGTCTTCAACGATAATTTCACATTTCCGTCGTTCAAATAAATTTTTCATGTTCCTCCTTCTCCTCCTCCACCTCCTCTTCCTCCTCCTTCTCCTCCTCCTCCTTCATCTTTTCCTCCTTTTTCTTTCTGTTTTTTTTTTTTCCTTTTTTTTGTCGACCCTTTTTCAAGTGTCACCTTTCGCTTAGTCCTCTCTCTCTCTCTCTCTCTCTCTCTCTCTCTCTCTCTCTCTCTCTCTCTCTCTCTCTCTCTCTCTCTCTCTCTCTCTCTCTCTCTCTCTCTCTCTCTCTCTCTCTCTCTCTCTCTCTCTCTCTCTCTCTCTCTCTTTTGCGAAAAGCCTTCCCATTAAAAATTCATAAAACGACTCTCGCGTCATCCCTGTGCTACGTGAACGAGCAACTCGGCTGAATAATCGGCGTACTCGGCGAAAAAAACGACTGGTTTTAGGAGCGATATTTACGCGGTACGTTTCGAAAGAGCAGGGAATTACAACGGAATATATGCATTTATATATATATGTATACGTTACTTAACATATGTATATATGTATGCATGTATGTATGTATGCATGTCGATCGTGTTGAATCGAATAAATCCCTGCCAGTGTATTATTTCTTTTTTCTTTTCTTTTTTCTTCTTCTTTTTCATTATTTTGTTTTCTTTTTCTTTTTTTTTTCTTTTTTGTTACATTCTTTTCTTCTTGTTTGAATTTATTTATCGTTTTTTTATTTTTATCTTCTTCGTTTATCTTTATTCGTATCGGCGATCAAACGTATCAAAATAATCGAACAATTATTTGCCCTTTATAAATTTCGTCATTGATAAGCTATAGAAGGAGTTCTTCTCATTCGTATCGTATGATCTTATTTTACAGGTCCCTTACAACTTCACGGTCTTTCCAAATTTCATGGGTAACTTTGGTCAACGGGACGCTCAACAAGAATTGCAATTATACAAGTCCGTCGTAGATGTTAGGTGTTACGAATTGGCAGCTCTATTTCTATGTAGTATCTTCGTACCGAAGTGTGGATCTCGTGGTCATTTGGTCCGACCTTGTCGTAGTCTCTGTTCTGGTAAGTTTATTTTTGGTTTCTTTTTCTTTTCTTTTGTTTTTTTTTCTTTTTTCTTTTTTCTTTTTTTTCACGTTGACATTAAATCGAATTTGTAGCAGAATTGAAAAAGAGAAGACGTTTGGAATTATTTTGATTTATTCATTCTCTTTTTTTTTCACATTCATATACAAATTAAATGAGTCGAATTAAAAAAAAAAAAAAAAAAAAAAAAAAAAAAGAAAGAAAAAGAAAATAAATTTCAAAACAACGAAGCAAATAAATTTAATTCAAATAATTTTCGATTACTTTTCAATATGAAATTCATACGAAACTAATACACGAATGATAAATAATATAATAATGATTTAGATTGATGAACATTTTTTGTTTGTTTTTTCCCCTTTTATTTTACAGAAACTAAAAGGCGTTGTGGTTTCTTTCTCGAAGTCTTTAGCTTGGCACTACCGGATTATCTCGAATGTGATTTATTTCCGGAAAATGATAATCCAGATGTCTGCGTGGGCCATTTTGAAGTGATAGAAACAAACGCGAGAGCTCAGAAACCGGGTAAGTTGTTAAGATAATAAATTTGATCGAAAATCAAAAGAGGACAATCAAATGCAAAAGTTGCACCATATTTTTCTTTATCTTTCATTAAATCTTTAATTTTATAATATTTTTATCTTACTAACGTCCCATATGAAAAATATTTTGCGAAAGTATTTAAACCTTGAAGTATTCAATAAAATTAATTTTGGGAAAGAGCTGAGAATCCTCGATTAAGAATTGGATAAGCGAAGGATTAAAATAATCTTGACGGAGCAGTCAGTCGGCATACGAGATTATAACAGCTCCAGAGTTTAAGGGCTTTAGTAAAATGGAGCATCATCTCTGACAATTAGATTTCCTTAAGGGAGAATTTCACGATGACAATGGCGTGACTATTGAATTTTTCATAATAAATAGATAAACATTTTTAAAAAAATATGTGATCGTTAAATTTTGTTATTTACAAAGTGAAACTTACAAAATTCATAAAAATAACAAATCATTGTAAATTTGCAGTGTTAATCAATCATATAAATCTAATCGTTTGAATTAATACGCAAAATTTACATTATTTAATTATTTTTAATAATAATATACGATCTGAAAAATTACAAATCTTTATACATTTACGTTGCTTAAAAATCATATGAACCTTAATCAAACTTGAATTAAAATTTATCGTTTAAAAGGAATATTCTTATTTGATATAATTGAAATTCGTTGAAAGTTCACGTATCTTTTTGAATTAACGTATGTATATTTTTAGTATAAAAAGATAACGTACAGAATTCGTACGCATACTTAACGTAGTTAATGCAACAGGTGTGCCGAACGAGATCAATAACGCTTATACAACGTTTTCATCTTAAAACCACGGCTTGTAACTGTTTAATGAATTCTACTTGGTAACACTTTCGCAGGGACCAAAATTGCTTTGCTATAGCGTGTACTTGCTCACCACAAACAAAACCGATACCAACTGAGATTACATTTTCCTTAGTATAAATGGACAACGGGTAACATTTCGTAATTACTTTCTAGAGTATCTCTAAGCTTCTGAAGGGAATTTATATTGAAACTGAATCTCATATTATGCATCCAATATACATCAATTTTACTTAAAATATATATATATATTTTTTTTTTTTTACATTTTACACGATCTACAGATATATAAATTAAAGACAGTTTATATAAATTAATAATACATAAAATAAGTAGACAAATATAAAGTACCTGTTTGATAAATTTTTATAAGATGCATTGGCCCTTTATTCTTAGGTATTGAAATAGGTAGAAAATATGAAATGATGAGGAACATTTGAATAGTGCTGCACGAGTTGCAATTGCTAAAGCAAACATTGGCGGGATTGAGAGGGCAGGTATTGATCGAGAATAGCAGGATGGTCTTTCGCGTCGAATAATCGGCCGATCGGTGTTCTAGATCGAATCGCAACGATAAATCGAGTCATTTGCGTCTACGCTTAATTAAGGCTTTAAAGCGTGCCAGGACTATTGGAGTTTGCCTATCAGAGGAGTTTCAGTAATTTCAATGTATACACTCTCTCTCTCTCTCTCTCTCTCTCTCTCTCTCTCTCTCTCTCTCTCTCTTTCTCTCTCTCTCTCTTTCTCTCTCTCTCTCTCTCCCTTCACCTCCCTCTTTGCAATTAATCCTTGCCTTCTCTTTCTTCGCTTATCTCCTTTTCATCCTCGTTTGATCAACATTTTCTCTCTCTCTCTCTCTCTCTCTCTTTTATTAATTTCTAACGCAATCTTGATCTTACTCTTTTTTATTCTTTATTTTCTTATTTATTTAATAATTTTTTTTTCAAGGAGGATGAAAACGACGACTGCTTTTCGATAATAATAAAAAGAAAAAAAAAAAAAAAAAAGAAAAAAAAATTATGAAAAGAAATTGAAAAAAAAAAAGAAAAAAAGAAAAAAAAGAAAGAAAAACTGTAATTATAAACGACTTCATTAAAAATCTATGTTTTTTTACGAAAATAATATCGATATAGAGAATATTTCCATTAAACTCTCATAGCCGTATTTGCAAAAGTACATACATACATACATACATACATACATACATACATACATACATACATACATACATACATACATACATACATACATACATACATACATACATACATACATACATACATACATACATACATACATACATACATACATACATACATACATACATACATACATACATACATACATACATACATACATACATACATACATACATACATACATACATACATACATACATACATACATACATACATACATACAACATACATACATACATATATACATACATGCATACATGAAAGTATATGCATGGTGGCTTTTGCAAACACATGTTGTTACCTTGTACACAAATAATATATAGAAATACGTTACAGTTGGAGTATATAGCTATTATAACACAAGAAGATAGATTTTAAATTCATATTAAACTATCGCACAGTGGATTATATTCGCTAGGCAACATTACCGCAGTTAGAATTGGTGGTTTTGCCCTGTTTCCACTATTATTCCCTCCCCCTAGCCCCTAAAATCCCATTCCCAAAACCCCTTCAGTGAATATGCAAATCTACTCATGGCAACAATTCAACTAATTAGATCGTTATGATTTACGAAATATAAGTCTATGCGAGATCATTTTGTTAATATTTTTGTTTCCTTTTTTTTCTTTTTTTCTTTTTTTCTTTTTTTGGGGGGGGGGCAGAGAGGGGAGAATTTTTGATATTATCAAATAAAATGCAATAAAGTGAAATAAAATAAAAGGGGAAAAAGAGAGAAGTGAATTAAATAAAATTGAATTAAATAAAAAAAGTTTTAAAGATTAGTGGAATGTTTTGCGTGAACGTGATCGACATTAAAAATCAATGAATACTATATGCATATATGTATATATATATTCTCTCTCTCTCTTTCTCTCTCTCTCTCTCTCTTTTTTTTTTATCTCTTAACATTTTTAGAAACGAAATTCATCGTGTGTTTCGTTTTTTTCTTTTTTTTTCACAGAGCATATAAAATCTGTGCTTTAATGGATTAGCGCGTGTTCTTTTTTTTTGTTTTTTTATTGTAGTTTTTTCTTTCCTTTTTTTTTCTTTTTTTTTTTTTTTAGAATTCCACTTGTATGTTTACAGTATGCACCAGTGGTTTTCAATGCGACGACAACCGATGTATACCGGTTGATTGGCGATGCGACGGTCATCTGGATTGCGCCGATCACAGCGACGAGATCGGGTGCGGCGAGTGTGGTTCCGTTTCCTTGTCAAAGTTTAATAATAGTAACAAAGGAGATAAAAGGAAATTTACTCTGTCAAAGAGTACTCAATCAAAGGCTACTTTACATTGCGGCGAAAGGAGATGCATGTCAGCTAGTCATATTTGCGATGGAGTCATGGATTGTCCTTGGGGACAGGACGAACGTTATTGCTGTAAGATTATTTCGTTTTCTTATTTATTTATTTATTTATTTATTTATTTATTTATTCACTTTTATTTCTTTTTTATTTTTAATCTTATAAGGACGAAAGAAAAAATATTTCGAACACGTTTACACGTTTAAAATTTTAAATTAAAATATCATGAACATTTTTTTTTTCTTTCCCTCTCTTTCTATATATATAAATATTTTTTGCTGTTGTCAGTAAAACTGAGCCAAAAAAATGGTGACATTGGTAAAGGACTTCTTGAAGTTTATCACGCAGAAATGGGTAAATTTATGCCAGCTTGTATACCACCAAAGATGCACGTCACCGCCCAAGCTATTTGTTCCCTTCTAGGCTACACGTAAGACTTATTGACCTTTCATTCTCTCTATATCAATGTTATTCCACACTTTCTCGCTACTCTCTCTCTCTCTCTCTCTCTCTCTCTCTCTCTCTCTCTCTCTCTCTCTCTCTCTCTCTCTCTCTCTCTCTCTCTCTCTCTCTCTCTCTCTCTCTCTCTCTCTCTCTCTCTCGCTTTCTATCTCTCTCTCTCTCGCCCCTTTATAAGAAATATTTTTATATTACTATATATGTCATGATAAAGCTGACAAGGTTGAATTATTTACTTGATCTTTTTCTCTCTTTCTTTCCTTTTTTTTTCTTTTTTCTTTTTTTTTTTTTTAAATTATGTAAAACAAATCAATTTAGGGGCTTTAACGTACTTGCTAATTATCAATTTTTATTATATAAATGATAATTTTTATGAATATAATTTATTATATACCAATATAATTAAATTTTATTATGCCTCATGAAAATAATGTTACATGACCGAATTATTTTTGTTTTTTTTTTTCTTCTTTTCTTATCATTTAAAATTTTATCAATTAAGCTTCAACGAATTTACTAATCGTCGAAGTTTTATTAAATGATAGATTTTTATGATTAGAATTTATCATAACTTTTACAACATTACACTTGTAAATATTAATTTATTTGATATTTTCTTTTTCTTTTTTTCTTTTTTTCTTTTTTTTTTTTAGTGTTGCTCTTTCATCGGATTTTTCTAACAAAGATGGTAACCTGACTATGATTCAAGCCTTCAATGAATCGAATCAGTATCGGAGATTAACACCAAAGCGAAGTTTATTGAAAAAATTTCAAGCGTGCGTAAAAGAGGATGAGGATTATCCGACAGTAAAACTCACTTGTTCCGAATACGGTGAATTTCAAAGTATATTTATCGTGACCTTTTTTCTTTTTTTTTTCAATGAGAATTATTTCGACGAAATATACAAAAAAATAATGGTCTGCCTTGTAAAAAAGTATGTTATGCTTTTCAGCATGTGGAAGGAGATTTCCGCTTTATGGTAATTCAAATGTTAAAACAAGAATCGTCGGTGGCGTAGAAGCTTCACCAGGTGATTGGCCCTTTTTAGCAGCGCTTTTGGGTGGACCCGAACAAATTTTTTATTGTGCTGGAGTACTCATTTCTGATCAATGGGTTTTAACGGCATCACATTGCGTCGGAAAGTAAGAGGAGATAATTTTTCTAATCCAAACGTCATAATCGTATCGACGATTGACTTGTAATTAAAAATTTGTGAAAAAAAAAGAAAAAATATTTACAGTCTTTCGGATGTATCCGGTTGGACAATTCAATTGGGTATTACCAGAAGACACAGTCACACATATCTTGGTCAGAAATTAAAGATCAAAAGGGTTATTCGTCATCCTGATTATAGTTTAGGTGTCGTTCATGATAACGACGTTGCTTTGTGTCAGGTATAGTTCGAATCTTAATTTATATTAAATTTACATTTTTTTTTTTAATTTATATCGAATCATTAAAAATAATAATGATTTTATATTTGTATTATTATCAGCTCGAAAAACGTGTTCAATTTCATGAACATTTGAGACCAGTATGCCTACCTAATGCTACAACCAATCTTGCTCCTGCGACACTGTGCACAGTAATTGGTTGGGGTAAGAAGAACGATACACAGGGTAAGTACTTTAACGAATCAATTTCTATCGTTCACTAGAAAAAGTAAATCGATCTAGAGGAGGCTTTAAAAATGTAAAGTGTTTCTCGTAGCGAATAATCGAGTAAATAAGATTGAATGCTTTGGTAAATACACAAAATTGAATCGAATCGATATATACATCTCTCGTTATATATATATATACACACACACATCTGTATAGAACGATATTAAAAAAAAGAAAAAAAAAAATCTATTTCTGAATAAACTTCGAAATGATAAAGACGATTAATTATAGAAGCTGAATACGAACCGGCTGTAAATGAGGTACAAGTTCCTGTTTTAAACAGACAGGTTTGTAATATGTGGTTGGCTTACAAGGAATTGAATGTAACAGACGGTATGATATGCGCTGGTTATCCAGATGGTGGGAAGGATGCTTGTCAGGTAAATAAAAAAAAAAAAAAAAAAAAAAAAAAAAACAAAAAACAAAAAACAAAAAAGGAAACATACAAACAAATAAAGAAATAAATTCGTTTCTTTTTCTTTCTTTTCTTTTTATTTCCTTTTTTTTTTCTTTTTTTCTTCTTCTTTCTTTCGCATAAAAGTCAATCGATTGTTTCAAAGCAAGAGCTTTTTTTTATTGTACATGCATTACAATCTAAGGAGTATATTTTGTTTATGTAATTGAAATGTAAATAGAATAAAAACATGTATATTTGATTGAAGGGCGATTCTGGAGGGCCTCTATTATGTCAAGACAAAGATGACAAAGAGAAATGGTTCGTGGGTGGAATTGTAAGTTGGGGTATAGATTGTGCCCGGCCAAAGTTACCGGGTGTTTATGCCTATGTACCAAAATACGTCCCATGGATTCGAAATGAAATGGCCAAGTATTCTGAAAAGGACGAGCCATAATGAAAGCACTTCTTTCAAACATAATTGAAATATTATTCGAAAAAGGGAAGGTATTTCTTTTTGAAGAACGTATCTTATAATAAGTCCTTTAAAACAGTTCAGGAAAAACAAATGGAGAAATATTAAATATATATCTTGGAATAGCAAGATGATAATGAGACAATAATCATGGGGGGAAAAAAAAAAAAAAAAAAAATATTTATATACCCGGAGTTTGAATTGTAAACAAATATTTTCTGCAAATTTTAACGACCCCTTCCTAATTAATATATGGTCGTTAATATTTTAACGTTAATTAATTCTGGAGAGAAAAAAAAATTACGGGACGTCGTTTTTTTTTTTTTTTTTTTTTTTTTAATTAAATCATACGCCTAAAAAAAGGATTTACAAAAATTCAAAGTGAATATATTTTACATGTTATATCAGGATTAGAATACTGCTGCTTTTTTTTTCTTTTTTTATTTTTCTTTCTTTTTCTTTTTTTTTTTTTATTTTTTATGTTTCGAAGCATTAACGTAAAACCTATACGACAATCGTTTTCGAGCTTCTTTCCTACAGGATATTTTCATAAACTATAATATTGAAGGAATTGTGGACTATGTTTTAATAAAAAAAATCCTGTTCAATTTGTAGATTTCTCTCTTTGTGGAGTCACAGTGTATCCATTTTTTACAGACGTTTTAAGATTGTTATACGAGATATTGTCCGTAATTTAAGGGGGGTATAAAAGTTATGGGAAATAGAAATTAGAATTGTGCAAATGAATACGTCTGATTCAATTGGATGCTAGTGATGATGACGATGATAATCATAATGATAATGATAATAATGATGATAATGATGATGAGAAGACTATGATTTTGAGAATGGAAGAGTGTTCCTCGAAACGAGAGTGTCGTTTAAGAGAGAGAGAGAGAGAAAGAGAGATAAAGAAAAGAAAGAAATGGCAATTTTAGATTACAAAGAAAAAAACGAAAAAAAAAAGAAAAAAAAAAGAAAAAAGAAAAAAAAAAGCAAACATTTCAATTAGAACGAAGAAAAATGAAATAATTGGAAACATAGTAGTGTTTATAGATTTTCTCGTATAGTGAAACTATATTAAGCTTATTGCGTGAATGCGATTGATCCTTCTCCCATAAAGTTGAAGTTCAGATAATGAGAGTAAAACGCGTTGCCATTTTTTTAGAAAAAAAAAAAAAAAAAAAAAAAAAAGAAAAAAAGAAAAAAAAAGAATAAAAAAAAAGAATAAAAAAAAATCAATATGATATATAAAAGTTTAATCGATGCGTAAAAATGTACCTTTGGTATTGAGAAATGAGATTAGTAAGATTAATGAAGAAAATTAAAAATATATTCGCGCATCTAATGCGCCTAAAAACATTTTTTAACGCTATCACCAACTTTTAACGTGCCAGGTGTATTATATAGACCACCAAGTGGTCAAAATCAATCCTTTATAGAATGCGCGTGTGTGCGCGCGTGCGCGCCCGAGCGCGCGCGCTTTTAAAGGGACGTCAATATTTATTTGATATTTTTCTTCTACCTTTTTTTAATCTTTTTTCTTTTTCTGCATATGTGTATTTATATATATATATATATTTTTTATTTCTTTTATTTTTTTTAATTTTTTTTTTATTAAAACATTGCCAATGATCATTCTTTTCAACGAAGATTGACAAACGTAATCGATTATTAAAGAAGAAAGATTGGAAAAAATTGATAATGACTACCTGTGTGTGTATGTGTGTGCGTGCGTGTGTATGTATGTGTGTGACATAAAAGAAAAAAAGAAAAAAAAACTGTACTTTTATATAAAAGTATTTTTAATGGTTAACACACAATGCAAGTAGAGTATCTATCGTATAATTGCATAAAATGCAGTATAGTATTAAAAAAAAAAAAAAATAAAAAAAAAAATAAAAAAAGGCATAATATTAAATGAGTTTAAGATTTAATTGATACGAATGGACGTTTCGTGTGACAATGAGATATCAACGAGGAATCTATGAAAGCATATATATATATATATACATACTCGTAGATATTTACCAAGTGTGCAGTAATATCATATATAATTTAGATTTCATATTAAGCAAAATATCTTCAAAATTTTTTATACATTCATTTTATTAGACATGCTTAAGAGATACAAAAGAAGGGATTTCATTTTAATTTATATATTAAGAATTTTTTTATATATTTATTTATTTAGACAAATTATTATATATAATGTTAAATGTATTATATATATATATATATATATATATATATATATATATATATATATATATATAACAAATATTCATAACATCGAAACTTGCATTAAATCTTAAATCATAAATTTATTAATCATATTTATTTCTCTGAAATATATTAAAGAGAAAGAAATGGGGTAGAAGAGAGTCACAGTTTTTCTTACAATTGTTTAAAGAAACAAATTTTTAAAACAGTAAGTACTTGTTATAAATTTTATTCCAGAGTTTTCTTCCCAGTTGGAATCACATTATATGTATGATGCATTAACAATACTAATAACATCATATATATGTTTCTATAATGTTGTGTATAACACAACTATTGAAATATACTTGTGAAGATAATAATTAGGAAAAAAAAATAGTTAAATACGTATACTCAGCTTTTCAAATCGTATATACATTTTATGCAGTTGTTTAGTATTAAGATAAGAATAATGTTGACTGAATTCTAGGGACAATAATTTGCACCCAGCACTTTTTTGATCTGCACCATAAAGAAAATAGTTTTTAAACGAATATACTTTATGATATATTATTTATTGAAAGTAGAGCATAATGAATTATGAGACTTAGATTTTTTCTAAGTATATAAACAAAAAAAGAAAAAGAAAAAAAAACCAAAGAAAAATGATAGTATTGTTGGTTGCTATATAACTTGATTATAATTTGTAATTTTTTTTTTTTCAATTTACATACTTCTTACAATCATTGACAAATTTTGAATAATGTTATTACAATAAAATTTTTATAGCAACAGCAGAAGCTTCCTATTTTATAATATTTTTCATTCGATAATAATCTGAATGAAGGAATTTGCTGATAATAATAGAAAACATTTGACAATAATAATCTTCCTTAGTATCCAGACAACGCTTAGTGTTAAATTAAGAAATGAATATAATAATAATAATAACCGACAATACTGTGTGAACAGACAATAAATACAATTAGGGATGTTCTCATATGGACAATAAATTATTAATTAAGGTTGATATATATAATGCTTAATATAAGATTTGCATGTGATCAGCAAGTAGTCATTGTCATTACTATAATAGTATATTCGTTAAAACTATTAGTATAAAAGCATTCTTTATATGCAACAGACAAATATAACGTCTGTTGAATATTGAATAAGCTTTAGATTGTTATTATCTATAAGAAAAAGAAAACATCTTTTTCTAATGTCATGTTAATGTCACGTTAATTAATATTCATCCATACTATTGTGTGGATTAAGTTATATTTGAAAATTTTATTTTCTTCTGAGTTATTACACGTTTAACTTATTTAAAAAAATTTTGGTACAAACAATCGTTCATTAAAAAATAAGTAAATATTTAATCTCAATTAGATGCGATATTACTTTTGCATGTAGGCTGATAAATAAATATGGTAGAATAATTTATTCGAAAATTAATAATAAGATATTGGATAATTTATAAGGATATGCTTAATCAAATACAAATATAAAATGATGATAATTATATGACAATATTACGGTAAATGTTACTGCAAGCATGTAATATATCATAAAAAAAAAGAAAATGTAAATTATTTATATAAAAAGATTTTATTTCTTTCATATTTCCAAATTGGAATAGACAAGACATGCAATTATAAAATTTTTGTTAATCTTTTTGTAATTAGACTCGATATATTTTTTTACATAATGCCTTGAAAGAAAAAAGACAATTCTAGTGACATATTAAAAAAAAAAAAGGAAAAAAAAAAGAGATTAATTAATATAGTGCCGTGAATAGAAATTTTCAATGATATTGAAAAATTCTGACTAAACATCATTATAACCAAGGCAAATTATTGAAAGAAATTTTATCACATATTTTAATTAAACAATAGTATATTTTTGCAAAAGAGATAGATCAAATAATATTCAAGTTAACAATATTATTCCTCATAACAACTTTATATTATTGAAATGATTTTGAGAAAACAAAATTTTTCTACTCCAAAAAATACATAAGTCAATGCCTGTAGTCAATATACTATTTTAAACAAGCCATAGCTGTGAATAAGTAAATTCTAATAGTAGTAAATATAATAGTAACATACATAGCATATATAAGTTGGATAAACAAATTTTGGACTCAACATTGTACTTAATTAACAAATGTAGTATATTTTTTTCCACTTTCTTTCTTTTTTTTTTCTTTTTTCTTTTTTTTTTTTTTTTTTAATATTTTTAGAAAGTATTAGAATATTATATATATAAATATATGATCTCGCTAACTGTCATATAACATGCACATCCTTGTTATTGTATTAGAAATTAATAATTACGAATATAAGAGTTTATATAAGTGTTATAAAAAGTTACTTTAAAAAATGTGAAAAAATGGCGCGCACAAAAGTACAGGTATTTCTATAAGAAGAAATTCTTCTCAAAGAATACAATAAAAAATGCGTAAAACTACTCCTGTGAAGTCAATGTTAAATAGAATTATATACATACATACATATATATATATATATATATATATATATATATATATATATATATATATATAGTTAATTGTACCTTAATTATATATTAAAACTAACTAAATCATAGTGTAAATAAGATATAATCTATATTAGAAAATGTTCTTAGATAAAAGATGATATCTTTATAGAATTCATTTTTATAAAAAGAGAGGTTTCTTTCTTCTTTATTTTTTTTTTTGGAATGTTTTTAATGATTCCAAAACTTCTGTACTGAATTTTTCAACAAAACAATTCTTATATCTTATTTTTGTTAAATTATTAGTGGATAAATACTTATATTTGTGTAAAACCGTACACAGTTATTGAAGTATATATTTACTTAAGAAAAATTCAACGATATACTATAAAAATCAATCAAATATAAAAAAATATACTTTAAAAGAATTATACGCAAGATTGAATAACATTTGAATTTGTAGTATTTAAGTAAATATATAATTTAATTTTATTTTTGTTCAAGAGATATCTCATGAATTAACAGTACACACTTGATAATAATCAATGTTAAGTACATAGATAATATAATAGTTTAATATGGCAATGAGAAGGATAATTTTATAAAGTTGAATCTTGATAAAATCTGACAAAATTATCCTTCGATTTTTGCATTTGAAAGAGAGAGAGAAAAAAAAGGAGAAACTCTAACTTGAATTCGACAAATGATATTATAATGATGTAAGTTAATGTTGAAAGTAAGATGAAAACTTCGCTTTTCTTTAGAATAGTTTTCAAGAAACGTAGCTCGAATATTTTGAATGTGATTGCTTTTGTGCTCTGCGCACAAGTCCTAACTGTACAATTAGTGATTGATATATATATATATATATATATATATATATATATATATATATATATAACAGCATATTATTATATATATATACATGACGGCATACAGTGCTGCAATGTAGAACTATAATATTAACGATCGGAATATTATCTGTATTGAAGAAAAGAATACGTAACAATGATGAAAAAATAATGTTTGAATGTTGAATATGTAACTTTGACTATAATTAGGTATATACATACAAACATGAAACATACATACATATATACATACATACATACATACATACATACATACATACATACATACATACCTACATCATATATACATACATATATACATATATACATCATATATACATATACATGCATACACATTCACAAGTTATGTGTCGCTGTGATTGATACATAGTCTTACAATTAGATAGTGTTGTATCGTTAGATCCTTAATTAAGATTAAATGAAATAAGAGCAGTCGCAGATGTCAATCGTCTTTAATGAATGTTGTGTATGTAATAAGTCGTTGTATTCAACGATAACAAAACGCTCAATGATTTTGTTTTTTCCCCCCTCTTTTTTTTTCTATCTGTTTCTTTTTATTTTTCTTTTTTTATTTTTTACATCACAAATAGATCCTTTAATAATTCTATTACTATCTCTGTTCACTCGTTCTATTAATAATGTTATTGTTTTTCATTTGTTTATTAACTTTATATATTATTAGAAAAAAGAGAAACTAATGTTTGATTGGATTTTTATCGAGGGAATTCAGTTATTACGATAATCATCATCATTTTCTTTAACGCTCTCCTTTAAACAAATATCGAAAAAGAGAAAAAGAAGGATATAAAAAAAAAAAAAAGAAAAGAAAAGAACAAAGAAAAACAAAACCTGAAAACAATGATGTTATCTACGCTTTATACGTAATTTATCTCTGCTGGCAGAAAAGTTTCTTTCACGAGTTTGTGAAGTAATTAAACTCGAAGTTGACTTCGCGGTAATTACCGTAGTATTCAACGCTTGCACTGCCTTCTCCCTTTTCATTAGTGTAATCTCACAGGAAAAAAAAAGAAGAAGAAAAAAAAATGTAAACGACAAAAAAAAATGAAAGAAAACATAATAACATAATAATTATAATAATAAATAAAAAAGCGACTGTATCTGATCCTTTAGTAAAAAAAAAAAAAAAAAAAAAAAAAGAAAAGAAAAAAAAGCCACGAACTGCTGTTGCACATTTACACGCATGTTGCTCTTATAATCTATTCAGAAAAAAAGAAAGAATGAAATAAACAAAGATCTAACAGAAAATAGTCAAAAAAATGCGAACACATAAACGAAAATGAATTCACTCTTGCTGGTCGAGAGTCGTAGGTTATTATTTCAAAAAAGAAAAAGACATACTTAGGTATATATATATACATACATATATATATATATATAGTGGCATACATATGTACTTACAAAAAATGTCATAGCTAATTATTTACAGTATACATACGTATATATATATATATGTGTGTATATGTATATATACATGTGTACGTATATATGTATATTTATATATGTAATGGTATTGCAAGCGAAACATACATAATATGAGAAATGCGTTTGAAAACATCTCAATATGAATGATTATGCGCTTATGAATTAGAATTCTAAGTTAGGAAACAGGATAATTCATTTTTTTTTTCATTTTAAAATTATGTTCGATTGACTTTGCAAAATTTTAGGTTATATGACATTATGGCAGTGCGTTCTCAATTTATTAATAATATTTATTACATAAATAAATATCATTGTATTGCTTATATGTGAATATATGTATATATGTATATCTATATACATATATACTAGTTCGTAGATCTATTTTTGCAGATTATCTTTCATTAAAGATACATCGTAGATTTATCATTTTGTTTAACCTCATCAATCTGTATAATATAAAAATTGTATTGTTCTTATAAATAACGAATAAACGTTCCGAAAACATATCCGTACATATCAACTACGGCTTTATTTTGATCGATGTGTAATTTTTTTATTTTATTGGTTTTCTTCCCTTTTTTTTTATCTTTTATACAAATACGACCTCAATATAAACGATATGAATATTTGTATGAAAACCTGTGAAATGTAGACAATCTGCAAAAATAAATGAAATTAAAAGAGAGAGAGAAAGAAAGAAGGAGAGAGAGAGAGAGAAAGAGAGAGAAAGAGAGAGAGAAAGAGAGAGAGGGAGAGAGAGAATATATACGAAAGCGCATTGTGAGTTTATAAATGCTACTCAATTGGTACAAAAAAATAATATATTGAAAAGTATATGGAGATTATATATATACACACATACACACTCTCATACATTAACAGTGTACTGTAAGAGTATATTATTATATGTAGGAAAAAAAGAATATATATATATATATATATATATTCATTATATATATAATGAATATTGATATATGATATATTTATGGAAAATACGTGTTGATAAATAAATTATGTACTAATGGAGCAATCATTTTATTAAAATTTTCCTATCAAAAAGTGATTTTGTTGCTTTTTCATCCGATTAATGAAATTATTGATTAATATTTTATTTGGCGCCTTAAAAAATGCGCGAAATTTAAAACGATCATATTTTATTTTCATAACATATTCCATTCTTAATATGAATTTAATAAATTCATTAATGATATCTATTTATAATTGATACGAAACAAAATACTATTTGATTAGATATTAATAATAATTTCGTATATTTTATTATATTTAATATTTGATGTAATTTTCTTTCTTTTTTCTATTTTAGAAAATTTTATTCTTTTCAAAGGTTCATTAGTTCCTATTTCTGACGCATTGGCGCTGGCAGCATTGATCATTCGATACATGAATTGATTGTGGTTGGGTTATTTCGTGAATTATTCTATATTATTTCCTGATATATATTTACGAAAATGTCGTTGACAAGGTAAATTTATAATATAAAATAATAATGTATTAATATTAATTATATAAGTTTTAGAAGAATAGATAGTTACAATTATGCATGATAATGGCGCTTAACCTTATCAAAATTTATATTGATAATAGTTTTAGAAAGATTAATTCAAGGAAGTATTTATTTAAGGTTAATAAATTAATATATTTTTATTTAGTTTATTGCCAACACCCAGTCAAGTTGTTTGGGATAGGGAAGATGAAGCTCGTGAACAAAAATTACGTCAAAGACCAGTCTCTGCCTTGGTTAAAGCTGTTATTACAGCACCACCTTATGGACAACGTAAAGGATGGGTTCCACGCAATGCAGAGGTTGAATTATTGTTAATTTTTCTATTTAACAAAATATAGTATTTATATTATTTACATTAAATAAACTTTTTGGATAATTTTTAATAGGATTTTGGAGATGGTGGTTCCTTTCCAGAAATTCATGTCGCTCAATATCCTTTGGGAATGGGAATGAAAGGGAAAGAAACGACTAGCAATGCACTTGCAGTTCAATTAGATGCACAAGGAAAAGTTAAATACGATGTTATAGCTAGACAGGGTCATTCTAAAGATAAAATAGTTTATAGTAAACTCAGTGATTTATTACCATCTGAAATAACAAGCGAGGAAGATCCTACCTTACAACGTCCAGCTGATGAGGAAATCGATGAGATTACAGAAAAAACTAAGAAAGCTTTAGAAAAAATTACTAGATCAAAAATTGCCGCTGCAATGCCTGTCAGATGTGCGGAAAAACAAGCACCAGCTCAGTATATTCGATATACTCCTTCTCAGCAAGGACAATCATTTAATTCAGGCGCCAAACAAAGAGTTATTAGAATGGTAGAAGCTCAGATAGATCCATTGGAGCCACCAAAATTCAAGTAATTATTTATAAATTATATCTTATTTATATTATTAATTACATATACATATATACATATATATTTTTATACAGAATTAATAAAAAAATTCCACGAGGACCTCCTTCTCCTCCAGCACCTGTCATGCATTCTCCAACAAGAAAAGTTACGGTGAAAGAACAGAAGGAATGGAAAATACCGCCTTGTATCAGTAATTGGAAAAATGCTAAGGTATCAAATTGTTCCATAGTATAGAATATTTTAATAATTATTAAAAATAATGATATTTTATATTAGGGTTATACAATTCCTCTCGATAAACGTCTCGCTGCAGATGGTCGTGGACTGCAACAAGTTCATTTGAATGAAAATTTTGCGAAATTGGCAGAGGCATTGTATATTGCTGATAGGAAAGCTCGTGAAGCAGTTGAAATGAGAGCTCAGTTAGAGAAAAAGTTAGCGCAGAAGGAAAAAGAGAAGAAGGAGGATCATTTGAGACAGCTAGCACAAAAGGCTAGAGAAGAACGTGCTGGATTGAAGTCCAGTGCGGCATTAGGTTTGTTCTTTATTTATAGATGAATAAGAAAATTATTATAAATATTTGAAAAAAGAAAAAAAAGAGAAGAAAAAAAAAACAAAAGAAACAAAAACAAAAATACAAATAAGAAATGTTATAAATATTTTTATTATATTTCAATAGGAAATCTATATTATTTTTTGTAATATTACAGATAAAGCCGAAGAATCACGTGAAAGGGATCAGCTAAGACAAGAACGACATAAGGATCGTGCAAGAGATCGAAATTTGGCACGTGCTGCACCAGACAAAAGATCTCGTTTACAACGAGAACGTGAACGTGATATCAGTGAACAAATTGCACTTGGTTTACCAGCGAAAAGCATTCCTACTTCTGGAGAAGCACAATTTGATCAACGTTTGTTTAATACTAGTAAAGGAATGGACAGTGGTTATGGTCACGATGATGAGTACAATGTTTATGATAAACCATGGAAAGATGCAAACTCTATTGCCTCTCATATCTATCGGCCAAGTAAAAATATTGATAAAGATAATTATGGAGATGATTTGGAGAAACTTGTTAAAACAAATAGGTTAATTTATTTCTTTTATATCTTGTGTTTATTTATATTTTATATATTCAATATAATATGTTTCTTTTTTTCTTTTTCTTTTTTTGTAGATTTGTACCGGATAAAGAGTTCAGTGGTACTGATAGATCAACTACACGATCTGGACCAGTACAATTTGAAAAAGATGAGGAAGATCCTTTCGGTTTGGATCAATTCTTGAAACAAGCTAAACATGCTACTAGTTCAACAAGTACAACAACAAAACGTAAAGAGGATCGAGATCAACGTCGTGACGATCGTGATAAACGTAGGAAACATTAATTTTTCTTTTTATTTTGGATTATATAATCATATATTGATAATATACATTATTGCCTGTGTATATACCATATATGTTATATACCATTCAGACAGTTTGGAATGCGTCCGATGGTAGACATTGTTATAATTAAAGCAATAGATAAGTGAAATATTTCATATTAAGTATTTTAATATGTTTATAATTAAGTATATAAAAAAAAAATATATATATATATATATAAAAAAAATTTTAAATTAATATCACAAATTACAATATATTGCCGCCGTATTTAGAGGCATTTGTGCGTGTGCCTGTACGTGTGTTAACGCGTACACATTAATAAATAAATTCAATACAAATTCATAATATAACGATTGATAATAATGACCATGCTATTTAAAGTCATTAATTATTTCTGAAATATAAATAATAAAAGTGGTATCAGATCAAGGCCGATGTCTTTCAACGAAATGATCTTTCGCAATGCTTCGTAGAATATATACGTCGTATCTTCCTTAAAAATTTAATATAAGTTTAATTATTTTATTATATTTCGTTTATTAATTATTAGCACAATTGTGTAATCTATCATACATTTTTCATAATTAATAAGATTCAACCGTTTCATTATTTGTAATTAATTTACTTCAGGAAATATAATAAATATTGTAATTTTTTAATAATATCATATATTTTAAGTACAATTTATGAACTCTCTGCATTTTTTATTTTTTTTTTTTATTTTTTTTTATTTTTTTTAGAAAGATGTACTATGTTTAATGTTTATAATTATTTATTATTTTATATTATATTAAGCTTTTAATTAATGGTTTTAATTAATGGTTTTAATTAATGGTTTATACCAACAATGAATACAGGCATAATTTTAGACCGATCTTGATGAACACAAGGTCTCATTTTAAAGATGAAGGTTTAAGCAAGGACATAGTTTTTTTTTCTTTTTTTTTTCGAATTTTTGTAAAACTTTATTCTTGTTTAAAAAGATTTTGAAAAAAGAATTTGAAATAATAGTAGTAGTGATATTATAAAAGAATAAAATTAACATTGGCCTGTTGATTTTAAATATTCTTTAGATATTATATTTTATACATCATATATTTCATCGGAATTAATATCGAGCTAATGTCAGTTCAAATATGTTAACTATTTTTGTAATTATAATTAGAAACGAAAAAGATGTAAAGTCAGATGCATTGTTTGCCTTTACGCGTAGGTATAATCTACACAAGCTTATACAATAGTAATTTCCTTTTTTGCATTTGTAAGTTTATATTTCATTCATATCTGTCGGTAAGATCGCATACGGTCGCTAACAAAACATGATGAATAATTTAATTTTCTCTATTTATCTACTGTAGGTAAAACAGTTTGGTGCAGTCGAGTAAAAATCCGTAATCTGCATTATCGATTAGAACACGAGTACAGCGACATCTGTTCTCAAAGTACATCGTCTAGAAGACTGACTGTTTATATTATGCTACATTCAGGAGAGGACACTGCTAGATAGGTAATAAAGTTCATCGTTATATTAAATATCCAGGTTGATTTATCGATTTGATAAAAAAGAAAAAAAAAAAAGAAAAAAAAATAGAAGAAAAATATAATAGAAATACAATTTAACAAAAATTTCAATTATTCATTCTGATTATATATTTTCATAATGTTTCACACGATATTAAACTCTACGAAACAATATGATAAGATTGAAATTGATATAATTTTGTTGCCTCGTCAAATCTATTTCGTACTTTACATACATATTATGTATGTTTAGCTTTCATTGGTTTTTTTTTTTTTTTTTTTTTTTTTTTTTTATTTAAATAAGAAACAAATTTTTCAAGCTTTTGAAAGCTTTATTAGCGTAATCCTTAGGCGTCGATGATTCTATTATCAAGCGTGTCGGCTGAGATAACGTAATGTATGCGCAGTTCCGTAATAAAAATCGACTTACACGTTAGTTATCCCGAAAGCATACATATATAGACAGGCGTATCTATCGGGTAGCACCCTTTTAGGTGTCGCTAAAAGTTTAATCAAAGTCAGATTAGCAGGGCTCGCTTCTGCGTCGAGGGTGCAGAACCGACTACCCTGCTTTTATTAAACGGGACTTGATTAGGGGGTTGCCAAACGAATCTTTTGGAGTTTGTTTTTAGCTGGTTTTGTACGACATCGCTTTCATTACGTGCCTTTCGCATAATTGACTCGATTATTTACGACGAAACTTTCCTTAATGTTACGACGAATATTTAAGTTTTTGTTTAAATGCCGATCGATATTTTCTTAAAAGAACTTCTTTTTTTTTTTTTAAATTAAACATCATGACAGAATAGAGTATATATATATATATATATATATATATATATATATTTGTTGATACTTTAATAGATAAAATACATGGGAAATATAAATGTAAAAGTTTATTAATTTTATGCCATTTATGCCGTCAATAAAATTATCCGAGGCGAATTTTTCTCTCAAAGTAAAATATAAACATAGAATTTATTACAATAATTTTTTTTTTTTTTTAATATTTTACCAAGCGCAAAACGTAGGTAACATGAAATTTATCATTTTGTTAAAATCTTTCGTTCGTATGTCGATCGTACTTTTTGAAATGAATTTTTTTTTAAGCATAAATAAAAAGAAAAATTACGAACAATATTTTGCACATTTTGATTTTTGATAATATAAAGTAAAAAAAAAAAAAAAAGAAGTATCACATAAATGTTTCATCGTCTCGACAAAAGTATTATTCTAAAGGTTATTTTATATCGCGCAAAGTACTGAGATCAATGTAAATGAAAAATTAAATGGGAGTAGGAAAAAGAGATATAATCTTAATTTTTTTTTTTTTACTTTCTAAAAAGAAAAAAAAGAAGAAAGAAAAGAAAAGAAAAAAGAAAAAAAAAAGAATTGATATTTAGTCTGATAGGGATTTCTCTTTTAAATAGTTAATAGGTACATCGAATTTCGAAGGATAATTTCGAATCGGAAACGCGATAACGACCTCTGCTAAAGACACGATGATTAAGGGACAGCTTGGCGGAGACACGTTTAGGTATCGTCACGGGAGTGGGTGGGAAATGATTCAATCTCCGTGTAATCCCTGTAATCCCAAGGGGTATATCTTCGCGCTCTCATACTCTAACCCTAGGGAAAAGCTACGTTGGCAACACGCCTCTTTGTCGAAATGTTTCTCTCACCCTCTCTCATTCTATCGAATGTCATTTCTTGATATTCCTTGATCATTTTCAATCGTTTCGCTTTATATCTATTTCCCGGATATTCATTTCAATTTATTTATATTAAACGCTTAATGATTTCTATCATTCAAAAGAGTTCATTTATCTCGTCAAAATATTTTCTCGATAAATATTTTCATATATTTTGTATTATTTATTAAATATTTTTTATTATATCGTATACTTATATATTTATATATATATATATATATATACATATATATATTTATTTATTTATTAATAAATATGAGTACAGGTACATATGATATAATATATTATATATATATATATATGTATGTGTGTATAAAATGAATATTGTATAATAATAAAAAAAAAAGAAAAAAAAAGGAAAAAGATAAAAGAAAATTATAGCCAATATTATTAGAAAATATTTTAGAACTTTCGTAGAATATTATTATTCAAATACTGAAATTATGTTAGATTCAAAATGTCAGGATCGTCAGGATCGTCAGGACAAAGTGCAAATGCATTTAGGAAAGAGACGAGTGTCATGAGGGGTTGGCGTAACCGCGCAATAACTACCCTCGCAAATACCAAACGGAATACAACGACGTATCCCTTGACAACGTATTTGTGTATGTATGTATGTATGTATGTGTGTGTGTGTGTGTGTGTGTTTACGCGGTAGGATCACATCACCGAGCACGTTTTCCATCCCCATCTAGCTTAACGCTAATGAATCTGATTTGCATCTGATCCCGAAAACGATCTTCGATTCTCCCTGAGTTAGTTGAATGAATTATTTAAAGACTTATCTCTCTCTCTATCTCTCTCTCTCTCTCTTTCTCTCTCTCTCTCTCTCTCTCTCTCTCTCTCTCTCTCTTTGCATCACCCTCCTTCTCTATTTTTCGGATGATTGATAACATAATATAAAATCATGTGTTTTCAATTTATTAGAACGTAAATTCCTAATGGAACACACAACGGGATAATTTTGAAAAGTTTTATATCCATTAAAGAGATTTATTTTATTTCATTGAACATTTTGAACATTCGTTTGTTCAATTTCACTTTTAATTTGTGTTTAATTTTTTCAACGTCAATCTTGGATTTGGTTTCAATTAAAAATCTTTTTCTTTTTCTTTTTTTTTTTTTTTTTTTTTTTTTTTTTTGAAATAAGATTAAAAAAATATATACATTTGTCAATGTAGAATATTGAAGATTGACAATTTTGTACAGAATTATTTTCTGATCATGAAAGAAAGTATGTTTAACGTTTCAAAAAATATTAATTTATTCCTAATGAATGTATTTCGATCAAGAATCCTTCTTATTTGTATATTTAAGAAGTAATTTTTTAATAATAAAAATAAAAAATTTCTTTGTCACTTTCGCGTGGAATTGTTTTCTAATTTTCAGGGAGAAAAAAAAGGTGAAAAAAGAAAAGAAGAAAAGCTTTACATTTAAAGATCCGACATTAATAATTATTATTCTTTTCAATGAATCTTTTAACGTGAAAAAAGAATTAAGATCATAGGGTACAAATAATATATCGATTGGAAATCAATATGTTATTTTGATAGAACCATTGGATGATTAGAATCGATTTATAATTATTTGTTGGAGAACGAACTAAGTTATTTGACGTTTTGAACGAATGCGATATACTTTATAAGGATTTCTTGTTCGAATTGATAAAAATCGGTGGCTTACGGTGTGTGCATATGTGTGCATGTGTGTGTGTGTGTGTGTGTGTGCGTGTGTGTGCGTTAGATGTTAGACGTTAGACGTTAAACGTTATAGATAAATATTCGAAAGAACATCGATAAATATTAATAACGAGGGAAGACAATTTTCGTTGAGATGATTTCGAAAGAGGGGATTTTCTTGGAGAATAAAATTTACGTTGGGGTGAAAGAGAGAGAAAGAGAGAGAGAGAAAGAGGGGGAGAGAGAGAGAGAGAGAGAGAGAGAGAGAGAGAGAGAGAGAGAGAGAGAGAGAGAGAGAGAGAGAAAGAGATCTACGATCTCT